GGGACATATATTACCCAGCCCCTTTTTAGCCAATCAGGTTTCATTGCAAGCTGCTGTCCCACTTCTGGTAATGCTACCACTTCATAGGGACCTGGACAATTGTACCCAGCTGAGAAGATGGGCCTTGGCCCACCAACACTAACATGAAAATCTACTGTGGACCTATGTGTCCCATAGAAATTGTATCAAAATCTATATTATCTCAATTTTCCCCTTAATTTAGCATGCCTTCCATAACTGAAAGCACACGCATTTTAAAAAAAAGAACAATTCTATTATACACTGTTAAATAAAATTAGCATAATTAGACTGCTATACAAGATTGTTTGTTCACACATTTTACTTCCAAATACCTATGTTCTCTATAGAACAGATATATATATATTTTTTTTAAATCACTGGAATAGTTCTTCCAAACATCAGCCTCAAGCTCTCCCCAATCCCCTATTACTCATTAAATGTTAGTATAACACAGAGCAAGGCAAAAAAATAATCTATACATGTTGTCTGAGACAACAAGGGTATGGTTCGTGATCAATAACACTAGCACTTTTATTCAACATCAAACTGAGGCTACATTTAAAGAAACCATATGGTGCTTGAACACAACATTCACACAGATCTTTGTTGTTCTAAGGTCTTGTTTTATAAGTCGTGACTAGTAGCAATAGTTCTGTACTCTCTCTGTGAAATCCTAAGACTCGCTAAAGGCACTCATATTCTTGGCTTAACGGAGACAGGGTCACATGGGACCATAAGCAAGTACTTTTTTTGGTATCTACCCAGAAAAGGAGTTCACAAATGATCCTCCCATTCACAATGGGCAGAAAAAGTCAAACGGCTATCAGTAGAAATGTCTTATGAGAAGCTCTTTATACAGCTATTTGTTCATTCAGCTAAATGGATAGTAACAGCACATATGGGAGGGATTCCCCCAACAAAACACAACACGCTTTATTACACAGGAAACTCCTTTGAATGATGATTTTGGCTGGTGAAAAAAAGATAAAGTCGGGGTTTTTTTAAAAAAAAAAAGTTATAAAGCCTACATTGAACTTTTTCCTACAATGACAGAACATTTCTCATGTTTAAAGACACTCTGTTGTCCTTCATACATACCTCATCCTAGGTACTTCCCACTTAAGTTCTTACATAGAGGAAACAAACTAGGTTAGGGTTTGAGGCTGCTACTCTTGGGCTTCTCTGTAGAGAATAGTATGCCAAACATACGATGGTTAAATGTTTCCTCTTACATAAAACAAGATTCATCTTCCATAGGTTGGACAATTCTCACACTGCCATTGCTCCTGTTGTTGGTTGTTGATGGGTGCCATCAAGTCAGAACCAACCATAGGTGACCTTCCAGCAGGTTTTCAGAAATAGTAAATTGCCCTAGAGGAGATTGCCCATCCTTCTCCCCTCGGAGCATCTGGTGGATTCAAACCACATGCCTCTCAGATTGAACCACGGCTTCTTATCACTAGGCCACCAGAACTCCTGCCATTGGTCCTAGTCTTAGCCAATTCATGAGCAAAAGAATTATAATTTCCACCATTATCCCTTAGAATCTATCTACACAGGGAGCTTTAACTAGCTATTATTCCCTTTATCCTTGTTCAAAACTGTATGCAATTATCTATAAACAAGCATACTAGCTCTGTAAGACAGCTTTGTAAAAAATGAAGGGGATGGTATCATGCTTCCCTTTAGCTGCTGAAGTCAAAGGGACAGAAGAATGATCTCAGTCATTATTCTTCATTGAGAGTTTCAGAAGTTCTAAGTAGTTTTCTAAATTTACTAAGAAGGGAGACTAATTAGGAAGAGTTGGAAGGGTAATACTTTTTCAAAATTAATGGTATAAAAAAGGATTCACCCTACAGAATTCAGTGCAGTAAGAGACAAGCAGACAAATGTAATAAAGAACATGCACATATTTTCAAGTTTCAGTACACAATACACAAAGACAAGACAAAGCATTTTCTGTTCAGTATAAAGTAAAAAAGATTACATGGCACTCTCAAGTTTGTAAATTTAGATAAAAGAACATTTCAAAGGTATATGTAATTTAATTCTTCAGTTTGTGCACTATGCCACTGAGTTAGAACCGATTCATAGTTAACTCTCAAGCAGGTTTTCAGAGATGGTAAATACACAAGCAGAAGACTCCATTTTTTCTCTCTTGTAGCAGGTGGTGGATTCAAACTGCCTGCTGTTGGGTTGGCTACTTAGCTCCAACTAGGCCCCAGAGCTCCCTATTCTTCAACTGGAACATGGCACTTTCTCCCTTCTAACTTCTTTTCCTCTGGACCTTAAAAGAGTTTCTGTTATCTTCCAACATTAACTTTGAACTTACACAAAGACAGTCACAGACAAAAGAAATTTGGATGCCACAAGCTCTTTTGCACATAGTTGCTGAAATCAACTTGTTTTTCCTAATGGTTTTCAGCTGTTTTGGTCTCTGTCTATCCTTGTATACAGCATCCGAAAAAAAGCATGAACATGATGTCCAGGTAACACAGCAAATGTTCAAATACATTGCAGAGCAGGGCTGGACTTCACAAAATGAAATCAACGGAGATCACGGATCACTGACTACAGTAGTAACAACAGTCTGCTTCAAAGGGGGGAAAAACACTGCCTGTAAGGAATGCAGAGATGTATTTATTTGACCATTTTCTGCTTTTCAATCTCTTTCACCCTCTGTTTAAGCTACAGAACACAGGAGAATATTTCACAGTACCAAGCCCAAAACACAACCCGTTGTCATAATGATCCATGATTTTTGAGGGGGTAGAGAGGGAAGAGTGTGCATGTAACTTCTACAGATGGTCATGGAAGTCATTAACCTACTTTCCAGAGTTTGAAAATGAAGGAGCAAACTGAGTTACTGTAGGCAATATGGTATCTAAAGTGTCATATAAAACAAACACATCACCTCCTTTTTATAGTGCAAAGAAAATACAGCAAGTAAGAAATAACACTATAAATCTAACTTCTTTCTTTAAAAGAAAATGCACTTATGCAATTATAACATCCATTAAGGGCACTGGGAAACTGGAAACCTGAATACACAAGGCCTGGGGAAAAAACTCAAGCCTTTAATTCCCATGATTTATGTATGTACACAGTAAGATTATTAAGTGGAGAGAGTGGGGGAAACTATCCTTTTATTTGAAAAGAAAAACTGAAAGTGAATCAAATGCCATTTTTTCAAAATACAAGCTCATAGCCAATTTTTTTTCCTGTTATCAGGAAAAAGGGATTCAATGAAATTCTATGATGTGCGGAGGAAGAGCCAGAGATAGAATAAATGAGATTTTTAAATAATCATAGAACAACCAAGTGGCCAGCACTGTGATATTAAAGTTTACTAAAAAAATTAGAATTAGCAGCAAATTAGTAACCTATTGGTCAGTAAGATAAACCCTAAACTGTCTTAAAATAATCAGCTGTACTTTGTACATTACTGGGAGGGGGAATGATTATTATACTATGTTGCCCCAGGTTCAGACAGAGTATCAACAGAACTCTATTTCATTCTTTTTTCTCTGGAAAAAGAATATCTTTCCAACAGAAATTCTACTTTTTATAAAAACTACAAGTTCAATAGAGCGGCAGACCTTGATCTCTTTCTAGAGATTAATAGCAAAACTAATTTTCAAATATGGGTCTAGATTGTTAAAAAGCATTAGGTAAAAGGAATAGTGATTATAATTTTCCTCCTGTACATTGGTTTACTTACAGAACTTTCAGGAAAAATAGTTGTTTTCTTTTTGTTACTGAGTAATCAAATGTAAACTATAGTTAAAGATACTGATCAAGAGAAATTTCATAGTGAATGTAGCCTTTCAAAAGCATGCATAAGCACCAGTTTTACGATACAAAATAAAACAAAGTAATTAGATAAAATATATTTAGTAGAAGTCCACAGTCTCCATTATTTGTTCCATATGTACACTACAGCATCTTATATTAAAAGAACAAAAATAATAACACCTACTATCAGATACCAAGGTAATCTAGAATATATGTTCAGTCTTTGCAAGGAATTTTTTTAGGATTCATTTTATAAAGAATCAAAATGGACATTAACCAAAATTTATATATTTTTCTACTGGAAATGATGACATTAAAATGTTATTAACTTTTTAGTTCCTCTCAATTAACAAAATGATGAAACTGTCATGTTCTCAGAACAGCTAACCAACCAGTAGAAGAAATTATAAGGAAAACTTAAGAACTGTATTACTTCAAAATTCTGTCAAAATAAAATATCCAGAGATCTGAACCTGTAGCTGCGTGCATCATGAGTGTGTGTTACTACTTACGAAGTAGTAATTAAATTTCAACTGAAAAATTAAATACATCTGTATATTTTCTAAAACCAGACAAAATATATACTTTTAAAATGTCATATTCATCTTAAACTCATTAAGTATGATTCCTAAATGGGGCTTGGAAAACTCACAGCACAGCTGTAGCATGATGATTAGCTTGAGAGACAAGCTGATTTGGGGGGACAGAAAAGAATAAGGGTTAAAGGTAACATTTAAATGTATGAAATCAATACATGGAAACAAAGTTTTAGATATTTGGAAGAACATACACAAAGTGTTTCAATTCAAGAAAACCTGCATTTTGGTAACTGAGGAACTCGATAAAGGGAAGAATATCCTGGGAAAGACTGTTTGCAACAGACTGTCCGACCTACAATGGTTTACCCTTGGGGAACTCAAATCTCCGCTTTCAAGTTTTTACTGTGATGAGAAATAAAAACCTCAGTAATACTCTACTTACCAGCGCATAAAACTAAAAATACAACAGAATTTAAATGTATGTAGCCATAGCTCTAAGCAGTCAGGATACTAGCTGACCAGAACTTGGTCAAGCTAAAAAGAGATTTCTGATGGGATATTTAAATCACATGCTGATAAATAGCTTAACACAACCAACCCAAAAAAGCAGTTATGACCCAAGAAACACGTTCTTTTTCTCCCCCAGTTTCGACACCTCAATGTACCACTGCAGTTTACACATATTCACACTAAGCAGAGGAATGTATTCATATCAAAAGGACCACAAAGCAAGGCATGTTGACAGAGGGGAAATAACAGGCAGGACAAGTGCTCTAGCCACACATTTCAATCACTATACATATCCGAGGTTCTCCATCTCATTCCTGTACCGCTGTTCAGACACCTTGCTTTTATGCTGCTTGCTCTCTAAATGCTGCCGGAATTCCAACTCTTCGCCAGCCCCAACATTGCACATCGAACAGTAAAATTGGCCGCTGGGAGTGACACACATGGCCAGATCCCGTGGAATTCTCTGCCGGGACCGAGGATTGAAGTAAGGACCTGCTAAGGCAAGAATAAATGTTATGATATACACTCATATTAAAATACAAAGTAAATGGTGGCTAGCCAATTAATCACTATAATCTATAACTCTTATTTCTGGTGTATATTATATAATTTACAGATCCTTAGCTTGAAATGAATGAGAAGTTATGTGAAAGAATAAAATAAATCTTCTAGTCATTGTCAGAAAAGCTTCCAATTCAATCTCTAACTCTAAATGTCGATAATGCCACTGTTATAAAACAGGACTGACACTGGGATTGGGGGAGAACTAGGCAAAGAGGGGATAAATAATGTACACTGCATGAAAACAGATGAGGGAAAGAGCTGCATTTATGATTAGGTATTATTTGTATGACAACAGTGCAGAATAAGAGCTGCATAGACTGGGGTACGGGTGGGGAACTGTACAACAATGAAAGAATTTTTTTTTAAGAGAAAAGTGAACTGGTGGCAGCAGGAAGGAAAATGTGCAATAGTGAATGAATGGAAATCCAAGTTTTCGATAAACTTTCATTAAAATCTCAATTTTTAAAAAAGTAAATCCAACTTAAAAAGCACTTCTTTGTTTGTTTTAGGCATTGTACATGTCCTTCAATTACGGTTCAGAAATGTTTATTTCCAAGAATTTATCCTAAGGGAATACTAAGAATTTCAGAACAGTTAACTACAAGGATTTTTATTTCAGCAATAAGTATACAGTAGCCAAAAACTGTGGGCACAGGCAGGGAGAAAAATATATTACTATATAAAAATATGAACACTAAGGAAAACTATACAGTAAAAAAAGCAATGCCAATAGAAAATCCAATTACATGAAAATCTGAAAAAAATTATATAGAATGTTATTGAGAAAAATAAGTATATTCTAACATATAAAAACAATAATTTAAAAAGAGAGAGAGATTGGAAGGTCACAAATAAATCTATTAATGGAATTAGTGAGAACTTTCTTTTCTTTTTAATATATAAATGCTGGAAAATATTTTTTATAAAATGTTATTAAGTAAAATAAGTATATCTTAAAATATATTTTCAATAAATCTAGAGATTGAAAGGTTGGTTATATGTAGATTTATTCATGAAATCAGTGAGAACTTAATTTCTTTTTATATAAATGACTTCATAAGTTGAATCTTTAGCTCATTGATTTTCTGATTCTCTAAAACAATTCTTATTCAAGACTATAAATTTCTTCACATTCCTTTAACTGATCCTAAGCTCTGATTTTTCAATCACTATTAAAGTTTTAAGAATGTTTTCATTCACTTTGAGTTCTTGTATCCCATCTTGAGTTATTTATAAGGGTTTTCAAATTTCCAAGCATATTAATATCATTCCCATTTTCTGGTTTTATTATTAACACATCTCATTTAAATATACTCTATTTCTAGAACTAGCCTGCATGCTTCCATTTGTTTTTTAACCTCTGTTAAAATTCACTTTACATCCAGTAGAGTTTTTATTAAAGTTCTATCAATGCTTAAAGAAATATTTATGTTCTATTGGGTGTGAGTGTATGTATCTATGTATGTGAGTATGTGTGTGTATTCCTATATATTCATGTGTATATACGGAAATATAAAGGTGTGAGTCATTACAGAAGTGACTTGTGGCCTAAGCCATCATATCAAGGGTTGGTTGGGGAGAATGAGGTGCTGGCCAGGGTAGGTGGGAGTGGTAGGGGATACTGGTAGAGTGGGCAAGGGATGGACCAAGACACATGTGCCAAGGGGCAGAAGGACCAACATTGAATCTGCTGATTACTTCTGTAATGGAGATGTGTCTTTCATCAGCTCCTTTTGGTAAAATACTTGTCTGTTTGATATTGTTCTAAAGCTAAGCATCCAAATTAAGACAGACTAGAAAAAAGAATTAGCCATCCACTTCCAACATTGCAGAACTTTAAAAAGCCTATGTACAATAGAGCACAGTCAGAGTAGACTAGCAGATATGGCACTAGAGGCTGAGCTCTCAAACCTGGAAACACAAATGAGGAGGAATGGTTGAAAGTAGACACTAATGATGGAAAGTGGAATATAAGAAGCATGAATGTAGGAAAACTGCACATTATAAGTTAAATGCTTTAAGTTTTTATTTTAATAAATAATAATTAAATAAATAGTATTTTAACTTTAAGTTAAATACTGATATACTAGATATTGGTGAAGTGAGATGGACTAGCATGGGACATTTTTAATCAGACAACCATATGATCAACTACACATGAGATGAAAAGGTGAGAAAAGAACAGGGTCACTTTCATAGTTAAAAAGGTCATTTCTAGATCCATCTTGAAATACAATGTTATTAGCAACAGGGTAACATCCATACCTATACAAGGAAAACCTATTAATACCACTATCATTCAAATACATGCACCAACAACCAGAGCCAAAGAGGAGGACATAGATGATTTCTACCAACTTTTGCAGTCAGAAATCTATTGAATATGAAACCAAGATGTATTAATATTAGAAGGTGACTGGAATTCAAAAGCTGAGAACAGGGAAAAAGTATCAGTAGCCAGAAAACATGAACTTGGTAACAGAAATGAAGCTGTAGATAGAATTTTGTACAATCAATGATTTATTCACTGAAAATACTTTTTATAGAGGTAATGGTGATGGAGGAAGTTCAAGCTTCTCTGAAGGAAGTGGCAAAAACAGAGCCCAGGAACTGATGGAATACCAATTGACCTATTTCAATAAACAGATGCTACCCTGGACATGCTCACCAGGTTGTGTCAAGGAATCTGGAGGACAACCACCTGGCCCACTGACTAGAAGAGATCCATATTTATTCCCATTTCTAAAAGAGGTGACCTGACAGAGTGTGGAGATTAGCAAACAATATCACTAATATCACACACAAGCAAAATCCTGTTAAAGATTATCCAAAAACTACTGGAGCAGTACACTGACAGAGAACTTTATGAGAAAGCTGGGTTTAGAAGAGGTCATGGCATTAGAAACATTATCATCAATGTAGATGGATCTTAGCTGAAAGCAAAAAATACCAGAAGAATGCTTATCTGTGTTTCATTGACAATGCAAAGGCATTTGACCGTATGGATCACGACAAATTGTGGCTAACTGTGAATAGAAGAGGAATCCCAGAACACTTGACTGTGCTTATGAGAAAACTATACTTGGGACCAGGAAACAGTCCTCAGAACAGAGCAAGTAAACACTGCATAGTTCAAAATCAGGAAAGGAATGTGTCAGGGATGTGTCCTGTCTCCATACTTTTCAATATGCATGCTGAATGATCAGATCATTCAGGAGACTGGACTATATGAGGAAGAATGTGGCATCAGGTTTGAAGGCTTATTAACAGTCTTAATGCAGATGACACAATATTGCTTGCTGAAACTGAGGAGAACCTGAAGTGGTTTCTGCAGATCAAGGACTGTAGTCTTTAATATGGATTGAAGTTCAACATCAAGAAAACAACTGGCAGCACCATGATGGATGGAGAAGAGACTGAGGTTGTTAACAGTTTCAGCTTGCTTGGCTCCACAATCAACACTTGGGATCCAGCAGTCAAGAAATAAAAAGATGAATTGCATAAAGGAAATCTGCTGTCAGGGACCTCTCCAGAGTACTGAGAAGCAACGATGTCAGTTCAGAGACTAAGGTACATCTGATCCAGGCCATGGTCTTCACAATTAGTTGCTATGTATCAGAGAGCTGGATAATGACTAATGATGACAGAAGAAGAATTGATGCGCCTTTGAGCTGTGCTTGAAATGAGTCTTAAGCATACCATGGACTACAGAGAGAACAAACAAGTTGATCTTGGAGAGGGTGAAACAAAGCTGCTCCTTGGAGGCAAGGATTCTGAAGCTCTGTCTCATACACTTTGGGCATGTGGCCAGGAGGGACCAGTCCTTGGAGTAGGTCATCATGCTTGGAAGGGTGAAAGGACAGAGCAGGATAGAAAGATCCTAGATAAGACTGATTGACTGACACAGTAACTGGGGTGATGGGAGTAGGTATGTCAGAGATTTTGAGACTGGTTTAGGATAGGGCAAGATTCAGAGCTATTGTACACAGAGTCACTATAAGTTTCAGGCAACTTGAAGGCACATAACAAAAATAGTCATCATCTAAATATTTTCTATGTGTGTGTGTGTGTATACACATACACGCATGAATATATTTGTATGTATAGAGACACACATACTATGGTAGCTTATTAAAATGTTACCACTATTTTACTTAATTTATAATAATTGAGAGATGTCTTGAAATCTTCTAATATGACGATGATGGCTTTGTCAATATAATCCTACAATTATATTGACTTTTGCAGTATATGCTTCTAGACTTTTTTCAATTTAGTGTACACATTTTAAATTCTCCTATCCCTAATAATGCCTTTCTATCCTAAGGCTTTATTTAAATCTGATATTAATACAGTTCAAGTTCCTCCATTTAATCTGATTTCCTTTATCCATTCATAAAATTTCTGTCTTTAAAATCGGGACCTTAGGGAGCTCTGGTGGCCTAGTGGCAAGAAGCTGCACTGCAATCCCAGAGGTGTGCGGTTCAAATCCACAAGATGCTCTGCTGGAGAAGGAGGGGCAATCTCCTCCTGTACCAACCAGTCAGATCCCATTTGAAAGCACATACTAAAAAATTAAATACAGGTCCAGGCCTGCAGACGCCATGCTCACTACTCTCCACCACCATGCCGATGTTTGTGGTCAACACTAACGTGCCTCGCGCATCCGCGCCCGACGGGCTGCTCTCTGAGCTTACCCAGCAGCTGGCGCAGGCCACCGGCAAACCGTCCCAGTACATCGCAGTGCAAGTGGTCCCAGACCGGCTTATGGCTTTCGGTGGCTCAAGCGACCCTTGTGCGCTCTGCAGCCTGCACAGCATCGGCAAGATCGGCGGCGCGCAAAACCGGACCTAAACCAAACTGCTGTGCGGTCTGCTTTCCAAGCGGCTGCACATAAGCCCCGACAGAGTCTACATCAACTACTATGACATGAATGCGGCCAACGTGGGATGGAACAACTCCACTTTCGCCCGAGGGCCACACTCCCCTGCCTTGGTCTGTAGTGGCCCTGCCCTTCAGGCCCTAATCCAGCCCACCTCCCTGTCAGGAGAAATAAACGGTTTAGAGACACACAAAAAAATAGTAATAAAATAAATAAATAATTAAAAATTAAACATAACTATCTAATAAAATAAAATAAATTTGGGACCTTAATAAATAAACACTTAGAATTACTGACATCTGTTTTCTAAATTTTATCACATTTGTTTTCTATTTTTCCTCTTTTCTCATATCTTATCAAATAATTTTGGGAATTACTTTTCACAAGAATACCTCCTCAGCTACTTAACTGTTTTGGAGGTGGTGAAGGGTGAATTCTGCAGAACAAATTTCTCCATCCTACTAAAAGCCACCATAAAATGCAGAAAGAATTCCCTTGAACTAAGAGTTCTGGCTGAGGGTTAATATCAGAATCACTGAGGAAGCACTCTCAAAGTACACATACATCTGGATTCCACCCCAAATTTAATGATTCAAAATCTGAGGCACAGTTGAGGCATTCGTACTTTTTAAAAACTCCCTGATGTTAATTGAAAAATGGGCACACAATATGAAGAGACACTTCAAACAAGACATTCAAATGGCCAACAAATACATGAAGAAATGTTCAAAATCCCTAGCTCTAAGAGAGATGCAAATCAAAACAACTATAAGATATCATCTCACCCCAGTCAGAATAGAAAAAGTTAACAGAGCGGCAAACAACAAAAGCTGGCAAGGTTGTGGAGAAACTGGAACCTTTATTCACTGTTGGT